GGATATATCCTACGGTGAGGATTAACGAAATAACAACAAAAAGCACAGCCCATTTCCTCCCACAGCTTCCAGTTCGGCGCTGCGGGCGAGGCCCCGGCGTACCCGCGTCAGGGCTCACGCCCAGGTCGCCGGCTCCGCGCCCAGCAGGGGGCCTGCCTGCAGCCCTTCAGTGGCTCTCGTCATCGTTTCTCTCTCTCTCCCTTCCTCTCTCTCTGAAATCAATAAAAGCATTTTAAAAAGAAAAAGGTAGTGTTTTGTATTGTTAAGATTTTGCGTGAATCTTTTGCCTTGAACATCACAGCATTAATGGCATAGAGCACTCACAGTTCACAAATCAGTTTCTATACATTATCCCTTTTATTCTTCCACCTCTGGATTAATTTACTTGAATGAAACAAACCGATATAATCAGACTATGAAAAACAGTCATCACAGAATATTCTTTTGGAAGAAGCTGATTGATATTGGTCAGCAGAGCAGTTGAGTATTTTTTTGAACATTTTATTATGAAAATTACCAAACACAGAGTTGAAAGAATAATACATTATGCCCACCACTTATTTTACATTTAACATTTTGCAATATTTGCTTTACCACATGTCTATCCACCTACCCATCCATGAAGTTTAACTTTTAATGCTTTTCGAAGACAATTACAGACATCAGTATACTTCACCCCTAAGCACTTCATTGCATATTCTGAACCAGAATTCAAATTCCTTTTTTAATCCTCACTCGAAGACATGCTTAGAGAGAGGAAGGAAGAGAGAGAAACATTGGTCCGTTGCCTTCTGTATGTGCCCCGACCGGGAATCAAACCACAACCCAGGTTTATGCCCTGACCAGGAACTGAACAGGCAGCCTTTTGGTGCACAGGACGATGTCCAACCAGCCGAAGCACTCTGGCAGGGCTAAGATCGGCTTTTTATGAGGTAAATTGTACAGTGAAATGCACCACTTTTAATTGTTCCAATAGATGAGTTTTGACAAATGCATATAAATTGGGTGGTATTCATTTTCTTTAAAATGAAGGAATAGCAGAAACAGGAATAGAGAGCTAGAGAAAGCAATATATTTTATCCCAAAATATCCTGATTTGACAACCAGAGAAATGGATAAAACATTACAAATTAAGAGACGGGGTACTGTTTAAAAACATCTGCTAAGGGAAGCAAAAAGAAAATCAAACGTAACATTGCAAAAGATTTGGGATTTAAGCAAATCTACCCATAGAAAGGAAGATTCTGCTGACAAGGCATCACAAGATGGAAACATACCTCGAAAATGTTAGAAAACAAAAGAAGCACCAACCCACAGTGATTTTGAATGAAAAGCTTGTGATTCCATGACATGAGTGAATCGACCTATACAATGAATAGCCCAGAAAGACAGCATTTCTGAAAGGATGTAGACAGTAAACTCAGTGTTTTTGGGAGCTGGGGGGAAAAAGGGTCCTTAACAATCATTTTCTGGAGAAGACTCAAAGAGACACAACTTGTCCAAACACCTTTAAATAACCACCAAGTCCTACATCAATATATAAATGAAGCATCAGAGTTGGAATATGTGCAGCATGAACATGACTTGTATGCAGTGGTTGTAAAAGAAATGAGATGTTGGCAAGCATGTAGAGAAAGTGGAAGTCTCAGATATTGCCAGTGAATGTAAAATGGTGCAACTGCTTTGGCAAACAGTTTGGCAGGTCTTCAAAAAATTAAATATAGGATTACCACATGACCCACCAATTCCATTTCTAGGTATAGGCAAAAGAATTGAAAACATGTTTCAAACCAATGCTTGTACATGAATGTTCATAGCAGGACCATTCAAAATAGCCAAAAATATTTAGGACACAACCTAAATATCCATTAATTTCTGAATGAGTAAACTAAAGTGATATATCCACACAATGGAATATTACTCAGCCATAAAGAGGAATGAAGTACTGACACATACTACAAAGCAGATGAACTTGGAAAACATGCTAAGTGAAACACACTAGACATAAAAGGTTACATATTGTATAATTTTATTTATGTGAAACATTCAGATTAGGTACTCTCAAAGAGGCAGAAACAGACTAGTGGTTGCCAGGGAATGGGGGGAGGTGGCTACTTAATGAGTATGAGATTTTTCTTTTGGGGTGATGAAAATGCTCTGGAACTAGATAGTGAGGATGGTTGCACAATACTGTGAATGTAGTAAACACCAAAAATTGTACACTTTGGCCAGGTTAGTGGTTAATGTTATTTTATGTTATGTAAATTTTACCTCAATAAAAAAAGAAACAACGGATCTTATGAGGATCAGAGTCTAGAGCAAGATGAAATAAGAAGCCCTCAAATTTCTGCTTTCTAATACATATCTCTTTTTATGTCATAGCTTCATTCCCTATTTTCAGGATACTGAAATAATTCTTTAAACAAATATATATTAAATTTATACTATGTGGAAGCCATTAAACTAGGCACTGGGAAAGCAAACAATGCCATATAAAAACAGTCATGATCCCTGCCCTCTAGGAGCTTTCAATCTAGTTGGAGGAGGCAGGTATTAATCAAAAGACCATATCAAGCC